TTGAACATGAACTAACAATAACATTGAATTATATTCTCCATGAAATATGATGTTTGACATATGACATATGTACAATTGAGAATGAGAATGGAAATGAGAATGTGAATAAAAACTTTTGATCTTAAATGATTTGACATAGAAATTTATTGCGATCCTTACACGTCCCAATGTTGTTGAAATACTCGTCTGACACCCTGTTGTTGAAATATACGTCTGACCCCCTGTTGGTGAAATATACGTCTGACCCCCTGTTGTTGAAACACTTGTCCGATCCCCTGTTGTTGAAATATACGTCTGACCCTCTGTTGTTGAAATTTACGACTGAGCCCCTGTTGCTGAAATATACGTCTGAACCCCTGTTCTTGAAATACTTGTCTGATCCCCCTGTTGTTGAAATACTTGTCTGAGCCCCTGTTGTTGAAATATACGTCTGACCCCCCTGTTTTGGATATAAACGTCTGAACCCCTGTTCTTGAAATACTTGTCTGAGCCCCTGTTGTTGACATATACGTCTGACCCCCTGTTGTTGAAATATACGTGTGACCCCCTCTTGTTGAAATATACGTCTGACCCCCCTGTTTTTGAAATAAACGTCTGAGCCCCTGTTGTTGAAATATACGTCTGACCCCCTGTCGTTGAAACAGTCGTCCGATCCCCTGTTCTTGAAAAATACGTCTGACCCCCTGTTGTTGAAATATACGTCTGGCCCCCTGTTCTTGAAATACTTGTCTGAGCCCGTCTTGTTGAAATATACGTCTGACCCCCCTGTTATTGATATAAACGTCTGAACCCCTGTTGTTGAAATAGACGTCTGACCCCCTTGTTGTTGAAATATGCGTCTGACCCCCTGTTGATGAAATATACGTCTGACCCACCTGTTGTTGAAATAAAAGTCTGACCCCCTGTTTTTGAAATAAACGTCTGAGCCCCTGTTGTTGAAATATACGTCTGACCCCCCTGTTTTTGAAATAAACGTCTGAGCCCCTGTTGTTGAAATATACGTCTGACCCCCTGTCGTTGAAACAGTCGTCCGATCCCCTGTTCTTGAAATATACGTCTGACCCCCTGTTGTTGAAATATACGTCTGAACCCCTGTTGTTCAAATATACGTGTGACCAAATGTTGTTGAAATATACGTCTGACCCCCTGTTGTTGAAATATACGTCTGACCCCCTGTTGTTGAAATATACGTCTGACCCCCTGTTGTTGAAATATACGTGTGACCACCTGTTTTTGAAATATACGTCAGACCCCCTGTTGTTGAAATATACGTCTGACCCCCTGTTGTTGAAATATACGTCTGACCCCCCCTGTTCTTGAAACATACGTCTGACCCCCCTGTTTTTTAAATAAACGTCTGAGCGCCTGTTGTTGAAATATACGTCTGACCCCCTGTTGTTGAAACAATCGTTCGATCCCCTGTTGTTGAAATATAGGTCTGACCCCCTGATGTTGAAATATACGTCAGACCCCCTGTTGGTGAAATATACGTCTGACCCCCCTGTTTTTGAAATATACGTGTGACCCCCTGTTGTTGAAATATACGTCTGACCCCCTGTTGTTGAAACAGTCGTCCGATCCCCTGTTGTTGAAATATACATCTGACCCCCCTGTTTTTGAAATAAACGTCTGAACCCCTGTTGTTGAAATACTTGTCTGAGCCCCTGTTGTTGAAATATACATCTGACCCCCCTGTTTTTGAAATAAACGTCTGAACCCCTGTTCTTGAAATACTTGTCTGACCCCCTGTTCTTGAAATAAACGTCAGACCCCCTGTTGGTGTAATATACGTCTGATCCCCTGTTCTTGAAATACTTGTCTGAGCCCCTGTTCTTGAAATATACGTCTGAGCCCCCTGTTTTTGAAATATACGTCAGACCCCCTGTTGGTGAAATATACGTCTGAACCCCTGTTGTTGAAATACTTGTCTGAGCCCCTGTTGTTGAAATATACGTCTGACCCCCCTGTTTTTGAAATAAACGTCCGAACCCCTGTTCTTGAAATACTTGTCTGACCCAGCTGTTTTTGAAATATACGTCATACCCCCTGTTGTTTACATATACGTCTGAACCCCTGTTCTTGAAATACTTGTCTGAGCCCCTGTTGTTGAAATATACGTCTGACCCCCTGTTGTTGAAATAAACGTCTGAACGCCTGTTGTTGAAATATACGTCTGAATCTCTGTTCTTGAAATACTTGTCTGACCCCCTGTTGTTGAAATATACGTCTGACCCCCTGTTGTTGAAATAAACGTCTGACCCCCTGTTGTTGAAATATACGTCTGAGCCCCTGTTGTTGAAATATAAGTCTGACCCCCCTGTTTTTGAAATAAACGTCTGAGCCCCTATTTTTGAAATATACGTCTGACCCCCTGTTGTTGAAACAGTCGTCCGATCCCCTGTTGTTGAAATACTTGTCTGAGCCCCTGTTGTTGAAATATACGTCTGACCCCCCTGTTTTTTAAATAAACGTCTGAACCCCTGTTGTTGAAATATACGTCTGAACCCCTGTTCTTGAAATACTTGTCCGATCCCCTGTTGTTGAAATATACGTCTGACCCCCCTGTTGTTGAAATAAACGTCTGACCCCCTGTTGTTTAAATATACGTCTGAGCCCCTGTTGTTGAAATATACGTCTGACCCCCTGTTTTTGAAATAAACGTCTGACCCCCCTGTTTTTGAAATAAACGTCTGAGCCCCTGTTGTTGAATCATACGTCTGACCCCCTGTTGTTGAAACAGTCGTCCGATCCCCTGTTGTTGAAATACTTGTCTGAGCCCCTGTTGTTGAAATATACGTCTGACCCCCCTGTTTTTTAAATATACGTCTGAACCCCTGTTGTTGAAATATACGTCTGGCCCCCTGTTGTTGAAACAGTCGTCCGATCCCCTGTTGTTGAAATACTAGTCCTACCAAAGGTTGTTGAAATACCCGTCCAACCACATGTTGTTGAAATACCCGTCCAACCACATGCTATTGAAGTATTCGTCCCACCATGTGTTGTTGAAATACTTGCATGCCCCCTCAACTGCCCTCAGCTGAAAAGGTTTTATGACGCGCTCACACAAACAGACAGAATACGGCGCCCTTCTGTAAACACATACATTCACTGAAGGTTAGTTTCATCAAGTGCAATATGTGCCACACCCACCTCTTACAAAATCCTATGCTTTGAGATGACTCAGCCCTCGCAATATATGTACATTGTACACACATCAACGCACAAGTATTTATACACCGGTCGCACATAACCAAGGTCACCCAACGCGGAGAGCAGGAACGTCTATTGAAGCAAATGTTATGTGATACACACTACCCGAAGAATCAGTATGTGTCCTATGTGCAGCAGGATGTCACTAGCATTGGGTTTGGGAATGTTTATCAACCAGCCTCAACCAGGACACGAGAGGGGTAAGGGCTTTGTTTATTTCTTGTGAGAAACGTCGTAGCAGGTACGCCTATTGAAAGAATCGTTATGTTAAGTGTGTTAAAAATATTTGTCCTTATAGAGTCCGATACTGATTTTACACACGGGAGTCAGAAATAACGAGGACGAACACGATCCCTGGTAATTGGTTTTACTGTTATTCCAACCCAAACAATGAAGCATATTTTCCAGAAGTATTTCTCTACTTTATTCCCGCCGTGATATACATCTTATAATTTCCAACATTGAAAATGTTGAGTCCAACCATCCATGTCCTTCTTGCATAATATCCAGTTATTATGACATGATTTATTGTTTGTTGAAAATACGGTGAATGGATTATTTTTAAAAAAAACCATGAGTATATTAGAAATGATGTCAAAATATAGGTTATTCACTGTTGGAATGTGCACTTCTTTTGGAGAGTATGTGTAAGTTTACTGTCACCAGTTGTCTTGCCTTATCTGTAATTACAATATATTGTCAATGATCTCGAGCTCATATCACAAAATGTCCACATGTGGAACGAGTCGTTGAGACTACAGTACCCGTTTAAGAGACAATACGTCAGTCATCGAATCTTACCAACATGACATAAAAAAGGTAGGAGAATAGACTCGACAGTCTTTGTTAACAAAACCTAATTAAGGCTTCGAAGATGCACTCGCTGTAACCTGATAGATATGAATGGGTGGCAAGCCAAGCGAATAGATTTCGCCCGCATTGGACAATGCCCAATTCATTCCCAAACGTAGTTTCAACATAAGCTCCTGCTTTGTAAGCCAGTCTACCATAAGAAGTTGTATTCAGTGGCATAATTTCGTTCATAAATATTGTTATGACACAAATCTTTTATAGAAAAATCAGGTAGAACATGTTAAATACAAAACACTGTTACTTTCGCTTAACTAGTATTTTCTAACATAGCTGAGTCTGTATTTTTAGAAACCAAATTTGAGCTTTGTAAGACTAAAAAATAAAGCTTCGAGGATTTTAATTAGAACAATAATCAGCATATCCTCTTTTTAAGTAATTCTTATATCATTATGAAAACTGGGGTCGTTGGATTTAGGCGAAGATGATGATGACAGTCTAGATGAAGAAATCACAGTAAAGCATGGCTTGCTTGACTATCTTGATTTGTCCACCACAAGGGATTCGTATCTCAACGCATGATCAATCAGTACCCTTTTACAAATTTAAGCTACCACTTAATCATTTCTTTGTTTTAACAGGAAGTGCAGTGCATTGTTTAACAATTAGTAAATTATGTCATAAACGAAAATTGTTAGTGGCTGCATCGTCGTTAGGGGTTGAATTAGCATAAAAAATGGTCCCTCGTACGGTGATCTTCCTTTTTTCCTGGTTATCTATAAACTGGTTTAATATTATATACTGTCTAATAATATTCAAAGCGTTTAATACTCTTTAATACCTTATTCTAGCCATTATATGGCCGATACACTACCATTTTAACACACTCACTCAATCAATCAATCACTCCAATGTGCTTGCAGGTAGGGAAGTATGTTTTACGGATTCTTTTATTTACATATATTCTTCATACATTCTAGATTTCAACTAAAACTGATCAAGAACTGCAACACGGAACAGAACCGAGATCTATTCAAATTGCCATCACAATGAAGATCATCTGTAGCCTTATTCTGACACTAACTGTGACCTCTTCTACAAGCCAGAAGACATGTCAAATAAAGCCAGACCCCCAGCTTGGTGGCAGCCGTGTTGACTGTCAGAACCTCAACCTTACCTCTGTTCCTGGTGATCTCCCTCCCAACACTGTCAGTCTGGATCTCAGCGGGAACAACATAACAGTTCTCAGGGACCAGGCGTTTGTGCGTCTTCCCAGATTGATGTATTTGAACATTGTAAACAGTCAAGTATCACGGTTGGAAGCAAACGCATTTAAAGGTTTATCCCTCCTTCTCAGTTTACGCCTTAATAACAATAATCTCCAACTGGACAATCACACCTATCCAGAAGATGTCTTCCGTCCTCTACAAAGTCTTACAGGGTTGAACATTGGTAACAACGACTGCCGTATAAGAGGAACTACTCCGGATTGGATATTCAAATGGTTAATAAATTTAGAAACACTGACAATTGATACGTTCCAACATGACATATTTGGAAGTGGATTTGGGTATTTCCAAAAACTGGTAACTTTGAATATAGGGACTGAATCTGATGATGACTGTATTTATTTTGCTATTACCGTTTTACAAAACCACACATTCTCCGTTTTTGAGAATACATCTGTACAGGTGCTGAATGTAAAAGATTCCAAACTTCTTGCAATTCATGCTGGAGCATTTCTACCCTTCAAATATATTTCCAAAATAGTTCTGGAAAACGTTAAGACCTTACCAACTGCTATGGCTCTACGTGCGTTCTATGGCCTTAATGGTAAAAACGTATCTCAAGTTCTCATGAGAAATTCCAACAGGTATGTCAGTCGAAATCGAAACCTTCGAAGCCAGCTTATAACCAAGGAAACACTAATTTATCTGACACATATTTGCATCGAACATCTGGATCTCAGCAATAGCCACATTATTTACCTTGACGAAAATTTTATACTTCTCCTTTCGCGTTGTATTAAATATCTAGATTTATCAAACAACAATATTTTAGGGGATCCATTTACATTTTTCCGAATGAGTGTATGTAAAAATCTTTTTTTTTTAGATTTATCTGACCAATACAAATTCAACAGCCACATGTATAACTCAGGAGAAGGCAATCTTGACCCTAAGTTAAAAGTGACTCAAAACAGACTTCATAGTCTTACCAGGCACATGGCTGTTTCAGAACATAGTTCTGTATCAAAGTTAGAATCAGTAGGGGCGGGAATACGTGTTCCTCCTAATCTACGTATCTGTATGTTGAGGGGAACGTTTACTCGCCTGGGGAGGTTTTTCATAACGGGTGTTACAGGTTCGTCACATTTAGCAAAATTAGATCTGTCCTACAATGGAGCATGGGGCTTTGTAAAGCAAATTAACGGGTTGAGCTTCTTAAATGAAGTCGATCTTTCCGGCAATGAAGGTAGGGGGATGACAAAGATTTCTTGCTCTCATTTCCAAATATGACGTCTCTTGCATTGAACAATATGGGTTTCGACAAGGAAACACTCAGAAGAGGAGGGTCAGTACTGGAGGGACTAAAGACGATGCATGCTTTACGTTATTTAGAGATAGTAGGGAATGACATACGGTATATGGATATGGGGTCCATCAGGACACTGATCAGTCTGAATGTGTCCAGAAATAACCTTGTGTCTGTTCCTTTTGAACACAATGACCTGCCTGACCTGCACATCCTGGACCTAACAGTGAACTCCATCACCTACTTTGACGATGACACAATGGATATGTTGGAGAGTCTCGGACAGAAGAACAAGCTGGTCCTGAGGCTGAAGGGAAACCCTCTCTCCTGCTCATGCCAGTCTCTCTTGTTTGTTCGGTGGATATTTTCAGCATTTGACGGCAATGGGAACTATTCATGTGTTACTGAATATGGTGCTCTTACAACAACCCACACAGTGTACAACGAGTTTAATTACCACTGGACTTCATGTCAAGGTCGATTTTGGCTGCCAGTCTCCATAACACTGATATGTTTAATAGCTCTTCTACTTGTGTCTGCCATGCTGGTGTCACGGAACTGGACAAGGATTGCACATCACATTTTGGTCCTGATGGGTCGTGGGATCCAGCGGGTCACTAGACAAAACTTCAACAAAGATGCTTACGTAGCCCACTCGGATGAAGAGCTTCAGTTTGTAATGCAAGATCTACGTATAGGACTGGAGGATCTACTTGGACTGAAGCTTATTCTTCCCGACAGAGATTTCCTACCTGGTCCTTACGTAGCTGACCATGTTGTAGAAAGCATTAACAAAAGCTGGAAGACAGTACTGGTTGTGTCCGACGATTTCCTGGATGACCCCTGGTCCTACTTTATCATTAAGTCAACAGCTTACTACATTTCCAACCTCAACCCTAACAGAGTGATTCTGCTCATGGTGGGAAACGTGAACCGTGGTCGACTTCCTGAACTGCTGCTGAATGTAACTGACGAGGAGGATATCATCCAACTTGATGACTTCCCTGATCCTCACAGTGATGTATGGGTCCATGTAAGGGACAGAATTCTGACACAAGCAGTATAGGTTGAATGCAAAATATGTCACTGACTAAAACCCTTTTTGTGTAGTATAAATCATCTGGTTCTGTCATATCCGAACAATGTTATTTGTTTGAACAGTTACTTCATGAAATGTACTCATACACTTTGCCCGTGGGGACCCAGGGTCGGGGGTTGCCCCTTTTATCCACCTGCTGGTTGAAAGAGATGGCTAAATTGGGCAACCTGTTTGCCGAAGGTTGCATCCCTGTGTTGCCAGAAAGATAGAATCTGATGGTTGAGTGCCCCGAAATACTCGTCCAAACACATGTTGTTGAAATACTCGTCCCACCACATATTGTTGAAATACTCATCTCATCTGACCCCCCTGTTGTTGAAATACTCGTCCCACCACATGTTGTGGAAATACTCGTCCTGTTACGGTAAAAAAATAGCATCTCTAAAATAATTTCTTTAATTTTTTTCAAATTATTAAAGTTTAAAATTTTCTTCAATTTTCATTCCAAATTTAACAGTAAAAAGAGTGTTATTTTATGTATGCTTCAGGATACCAACGGACGAAAGTCTGTTAAGGCTTAATGCCATGCTTTTTAGTTTATGCATTGAGAGAATTAGGACCCATGCGGTCAAAAATAAGAAAAGAATGAATTAAAAGAATATGGGTCTGCCAAAATGGTGTGTTTTCATGCATTTGTATTTCTTTTCCATTGTCAATATATTTCTGTAGCAATTTTAATTCCCAAAATGTTGTATTTGTAACTTTTTTTTCTGACGTAAAGATAATGTGTTCAGTTTTCAATCACTAATGTTTACATTCTAGTAAAGTTGTATTTTCATCAAGTATTTTCAATTTAAATTACATCATATAACATTATATTATGCATTTTCTTTCTGTGCAAATGCTCTTGTAGTTATTTTGGTACAGTTTAATGTCTTTTGTCAACTTTTGTTGTTTCAGTAATTTTCATACATTGTTATTGTTTTATTTACATATTGAACTGCAAACTTATTATTGTTTAGTTTTCCTGTGCAGTTAATCTTCCAACTCCAACGAGGATAAGGTTTTGTGTATTTGTTGATAATTGATGATGATAAGATGTGATACATATTATGAACTTTATTTGAACATGAGTGAGTGAGTGAGTGAGTATGGTTTTACGCCGCTTTTAGCAATATTCCAGCAATATCACGGCGGGGGACACCAGAAATGGGCTTCACACATTGTACCCATGTCGGGAATCGAACCCGGGTCTTCGGCGTGACGAGCGAACGCTTTAACCACTAGGCTACCCGACCGCCCCCATATTTGAACATGAACTATGTATGTACAATTGAGAATGAGAATGGAAATGAGAATGTGAATAAAAACTTTTGATCTTGAATGATTTGACATGGAAATTTATTGCGATCCTTACACGTCCCAATGTTGTTGAAATACTCGTCTGACACCCTGTTGTTGAAACATACGTCTGACCCCCTGTTGTTGAAATATACGTCTGACCCACCTGTTTTTGAAATAAACGTCTGACCCCCTGTTGTTGAAATATACGTCTGACCCCCTGTTGTTGAAATATACGTCTGAGCCCCTGTTTGTGAAATATACGTCTGACCCCCTGTTGTTGAAACACTCGTCCGATCCCCTGTTGTTGAAATATACGTCTGACCCCCTGTTGATGAAATATACGTCTGACCCCCTTTTGGTGAAATATACGTCTGACCCCATGTTGTTGAAACACTCGTCCGATCCCCTGTTGTTGAAATATACGTCAGACCCCCTGTTGTTGAAATATACGTCTGACCCCCTGTTGGTGAAATATACGTCTGACCACCTATTGTTGAAACACTCGTCCAATCCCCTGTTGTTGAAATATACGTCTGACCCCCTGTTGTTGAAATTTATGTCTGAGCCCCTGTTGTTGAAATATACGTCTGACCCCCTGTTGTTGAAATACTCGTCCGACCACAGGTTGTTGAAATACCCGTCCCACCACATGTTGTTGAAATACTTGCATGACCGCTCAACTGCCCTCAGCTGAAATGGTCTTATGACGCGCACACACAAACAGCCAGAATACGGCGCCCTTGTGTAAACACATACATTCACTGAAGGTTAGTTTCATCATGTGCAATATGTGCCACACCCACGTCTTACAAAATCCTATGCTTTGAGATTACTCAGCCCTCGCAATATATGTACATTGTACACACATCAACGCACAAGTATTTATACACCAGTCGCACATAACCAAGGTCACCCAAAATCGATGAGCATGAGAGCAGGAACGTCTATTGAAGCAAATGTTATGTTATACACACTATCCGAAGAATCAGTATGTGTCCTATGTGCAGCAGGATGTCACTAGCATTGGGTTTGGAAATGTTTATCAACCAGCCTCAATCAGGACACGAGAGGGGTAAGGGCTTTGTTTATTCCTTGTGAGAAACGTCGTAGCAGGTACGCCTATTGAAAGAATCGTTATGTTAAGTGTGTTACAAGTATTTGTCCTTATAGAGTCCGATACTGATTTTTCACACGGAAGTAAGAAATAACGAGGACTTACATGATCCCTGGTAATTGGTTTTACTGTTATTCCAACCCAAACCATGAAGTGTTTTATCTAGCTCATATGTATACCGGAGGAACTTCAACCTTTCATGCAACAATGTGGACTTACAGAATCTGTGATTTGATCATCAAACCTTTTTTATATGGCCAACTTGCGAGCGTTCACGATGTCTTAATATGCTACCCTGAATGAGGCAATAAGGGGAGTGTACTCCAACACTGTTAATCATCTCAGGCGACTGCTTGGAAATCAAATATTTTTGCTTCAAATATACCAACAAAAAATTTCACACACAAAATAATAGAGAAAAAAGCATAGTTTCAAGAAGTATTTCTCTACTTTATTCCCGCCGTGATATACATCTTATAATTTCCAACATTGAAATTGTTGAGTCCAACCATCCATGTCCTTCTTGCATAATTTCCAGTTATTATGACATGATTTATTGTTTGTTGAAAATACGGTGAAAGGATTATTTTTTTTTTTAAAAACATGAGGAAATTAGAAATGATGTCAAAATATAAGTTATTTTTGTTCCAAATTCTTAAGGACATAATAACAGATTCACAATATTTTCTTACGATGACACTGGCAATGAGTTTTCAAAACCCATTCAAATGAAGTGCAACATATTGTCTTACATAATTATAGGATATTCACTGTTGGAATTTGTCCTACTTTTGGAGAGTATGTGTAAGTTTACTGTCACAAGTCGTCTTGCCTTATCTGTAATTACAATATATTGTCAATGATCTCGAGCTCATATCACAAAATGTCCACATGTGGAACGAGTCGTTCAGACTACAGTACCCTTCTTTGAGTGGCATTTAGAAGTTGGAGTGATGAAGTAAGACGAGTTCTATGGATGAACAACTTCTTTATTACAATTAGTGCGACGTTTCGGTGTAGATCCTAACACCTTTATCAAGCAAGTATCCGTTTAAGAGACAATACGTCGGTCACCGAATCTTACCAACATGACATAAAAAAGGTAGGAGAATAGACTCGACGGCCTTTGTTAACATAACCTAATATAAGCTTCGAAGGTGCACTCGCTGTAACCTGATAGATATGAATGGGTGGCCAGCCAAGCAAAGAGATTTCGCCCGCATTGGACAATGTCAATTACATTCCCAAACGCAGTTTCAACATAAGCTCCTGCTTTGTAAGCCAGTCTAACATAAGAAGTTGTATTCATTGGCATAATTTCGTTCATAAATATTGTTATGACACAAATCTTTTATAGAAAAATCAGGTAGAACATGTTAAATACAAAACATTGTTACTTTCGCTTAACTAGTATTTTCTAACATAGCTGAGTCTGTTTTATTAGAAACCAAATTTGAGCTTTGTAAGACTAAAAAAAAAAGCTTCGAGGATTTTAATTAGAACAATAATCAGCATATCCTCTTTTTAAGTAATTCTTATATCATTATGAAAACTGGGGTCGTTGGATTTAGGCGAAGATGATGATGACAGTGTAAATGAAGAAATCACAGTAAAGCATGGCTTGCTTGACTATCTTGATTTGTCCACCACAAGGGATTCGTATCTCAACGCATGATCAATCAGTACCCTTTTACAAATTTAAGCTACCATTTAATCATTTCTTTGTTTTAACAGGAAGTACAGTGCATTGTTTACCAATTAGTAAATTATGTCATTAACGAAAATTGTAAGGGGCTGCATCGTCGTTAGGGGTTGAATAACCATAAAAAAAATGGTCCCTCGTACGGTGATCTTCCTTTTTTCCTGGTTATCTATAGCCTGGTTTAATATTATATACTGTATTATAATTTTCAAAGCGTTTAATGCTCTTAAATACCTTATTCTAGCCATTATATGGCCGATAAACTACCATTTTAACACACTCACTCAATCAATCAATCACTCCAATGTGCTTGCAGGTAGGGAAGTATGTTTTACGGATTCTTTTATTTACATATATTCTTCATACATTCTAGATTTCAACTAAAACTGATCAAGAACTGCAACACGGAACAGAACCGAGATCTATTCAAATTGCCATCACAATGAAGATCATCTGTGGCCTTATCCTGACACTAACTGTGACCTCTTCTACAAGCCAGAAGACATGTCAAATAAAGCCAGACCCCCAGCTTGGTGGTAGCCGTGTTGACTGTCAGAACCTCAACCTTACCTCTGTTCCTGGTGATCTCCCTCTCAACTCTGTCAGTCTGGATCTCAGCGGGAACAACATAATGGTTCTCAGGGACCAGGCGTTTGTGTGTCTTCCCCGATTGTTGTATTTGAACATTGTAAACTGTCAAGTATCAAGGTTGGAAGCAAACGCATTTAAAGGTTTATCCCTCCTTCTCAGTTTACGCCTTAATAACAATAATCTCCAACTGGACAATCACACCTATCCAGAAGATGTCTTCCGTCCTCTACAAAGTCTTACAGAGTTGAACATTGGTAACAACGACTGCCGACTGAGAGGACGTAGAGGAACTACTCCGGATTGGATATTCAAATGGTTAATAAACGTAGAAACACTGACAATTGATACGTTCCAACATGACATATTTGGAGTTGGATTTGGGTATTTGCAAAAACTGGTAACTTTGAATATAGGGACTGGATCTGATGATGACTGTATTTACAGTGCTATTACCGTTTTACAAAACCACACATTCTCCGTTTTTGAGAATACATCTGTTCAGGTGTTGGATGTAAAAGATTCCAAACTTCTTGCATTTCATGCTGGAGCATTTCTACCCTTCAAAAATATTTCCAAAATAGTTCTGGAAAACGTTATGACCTTACCAACTGCTATGGCTCTACGTGCGTTCTATGACCTTAATGGTAAAAACGTATCTCAAGTTCTCATGAGAAATTCCAACAGGTATGTTAGTCGAAATCGAAACCTTCAAAGCAAGTTTATAACCAAGGAAACACTAATTTATCTGACACATATTTGCATCGAACATCTGGATCTCAGCTATACCAACATTATTTACCTTGACGAAAATTTAATACTTGTCCTTTCACGTTGTATTAAATATCTAGATTTATCAAATAACAATATTTTAGGGGATCAATCTACATTTCTCCTGATGAGTTTATGTAAACATCTGTTGTTTTTAGATGCTTCTGATCAACATAAATTTATTAAACGCAGGTATGACTTAGGACAAGGCAGTTTAAAATCTCAAATTAAAGTGACTGACAACGGACTCTATAATCTTAATAGGCACAGAATTAGTCCCGAAAATTGTTCTGTATCAAAGTTAGAATCCTTTGAGGCGGGAATACGTTTTCCTCCTAATCTACGTATCTGTATATTCAGGGGAATAACTGGTTCTTTTGGGGAGTTTTTTATAACGGGTATTACAGGTTCGTCACATTTAGCAAAATTAGATCTGTCCTACAATGGAGCATGGGGCTTTGTAAAGCAAATTAACGGGATGAGCTTCTTAAATGAAGTTGATCTTTCTGGCAATGAAGGTAGGGGGATGACAAAAGATTTCTTGCTCACAATTCCAAATCTGACGTCTCTTGCATTGAACAATATGGGTTTCGACAAGGAAACACTCAGAAGAGGAGGTTCAGTACTGGAGGGACTAAAGACGATGCATGCTTTACGTTATTTAGAGATATTAGGGAATGACATACGGTATATGGATATGGGGTCCATCAGGACACTGATCAGTCTGAATGTGTCCAGAAATAACCTTGTGTCTGTTCCTTTTGAACACAATGACCTGCCTGACCTGCACATCCTGGACCTATCAGTGAACTCCATCACCTACTTTGACGATGACACAATGGATATGTTGGAGAGTCTCGGACAG